GCTCTCCCCTGGTTTCGAGTTCTGTCTGTAGTCTCTGCGTTTCGTTCTCGGGAGAGTCACTTTTCTTATACAGTGCCCCTCTACGCTTACTGGTGTTAAAGGGTACCAGCGAAATATCAGGGAAACTTAACAGTTGGTATGTGAGATGGAATAGCATCCTGTCCAGTAGTAGCAGCTATGCTCGTTATTGGCCATTGGACTTGTGAGACGTTATAACCACATACGTTATATTTTGTCGTCAGAAGCAAAATCGAAATGGGTCTCCTTTTTATTTTCCAGGCAAATTCTAATTCTTTTGACTCATCTCCAAGGAACAGACGGTTTTTCTGTGTCCCATAAACTTAGCTTTCGCATCATGTGTGATAATGGGTATGGAGCATATGGCGCTCATCACAATCCACAACTGATACCTGAACTCTATGGACTGCATAGCGCGCGACCCTTATGACGAAGGGTTTGTTTACGCGTTTTATGGACCTAACCCTAATGATAGTCCTACCCACAGTGAGTAATACGAACCAAACCGCAATTCTACCTGACCATGCAACGTGAGTTCACTGAGATGGTTTTAAGGCAAAGGCTGACCTGCGAGATCTTGCGGCTTCTAGGCTGATGACGTGATGGCATTTGAACAACAATGAAAAGGCGTCTCGATGGAGGTCTTAAAATCCATATCCAAAAACTAACGGCTAAACGCCACGATGAAGACAAAAATACACCGACCGCCGATTAGAACTCAAATCAATATTGCGTTAATTGCCGGAAATGGCGAGTGACCAAGTCTCGATTGGATGAAGTGTTTCATCTGATTGGTTCAAAACGTGGCTTGAGTTTTGCTGTACCAATCACAGGGCGAAGAGAAGGATACCAATCCAAAATTACTTTCAATGGGAGTTTCTATAAATTAAGGTGCTTAGTCTCTGGCGTAGGGTTCGTCAGTCTGCAATAAAGCCAGGCCATTCTTTCGGGTCAAGTTGAATATGATACTGGGTTTCGACATAAGTGTGGAAAATATTTATTTTTTAGAAGTTTTTCGAAGTGAAAGCAAAAGGTTTTTCCATTGAATTGTGAACGTGCAACAGCGCAAACGAGTACCCTCTAACCCTCTAAAGGTGTTGAACGAGTCAGTGATTTGTTGAAGAGACAGGGAAAAAAACATGTGGGTCTCGGCCTTTCCTATTTGGCTTAACGAACAAACAAGCTAACCTTAAGGCTATCACAATTTACAGAGGACACGATTATTACTAGTATGATGATCATCATGGATGTTATTACCATAACTTTTATCTGAATCATCATTTTACATTTTATCATTTTACTTAGAGATTTCTGTAACATCAAATTCTGTTGCTTACAGCAATTAATAAAATTAGGGTCAAACGTATCTTATATCACTCCTTCGAATAAAGTCTGATGTGGTTATTGTGCAACATTCTATAACAAGAGTCTGTTTTTCAGGATTTTAACTTTATACTCATATCAGTGGGGTCAGTGGATGGAACAGTGGATGGGGTAAGGTGGTCAATACAACAAGCAAACTCACACACTTTGATTTAAAATCATGAACGTTCTTTTCCGTTTATTCATTCCGATATAGCTACAGCAAAAGAAAGGCTAACTGAAGGACAGTGTTATTCACTCTTACACAATCATTTGCACAGTTGGTTCTATAATGGGTGCTATCGCTGAATTTTTAATTACTACATTTGTGTGGCAAATAACAGTCATTTAATAGGACTCGTAAAGATTTGTAAGGGAAATAAGCCTCGTGGAGAACATTTCAGTGCGGTTGCGTAACATCTAGGACTACCATGTTCTTTCTTCTTTTATCTCTGTTTCTTTGATCGCTAGTCTCCAGACAATGACTAAATCTCGTTAATGTATTAGTAGAAGGGTATATGCCGAAATTTTCCGCTAAAATCGCAATGCATTCACAAAATAATAAAAATCTCCTAACTGCTTAAAAGACAAAGGGTAAACAACGAAGGATTAATTTTTAGATACGGACGTATTCAAAACAAACTGATTAACTCAGTTTTTTGATAGTGTTAGAAGGATTAGTGAATTATTGTATTATGGAGAGAGAAAACGGACACAAATGATCTAATATTAAGGAAAAATGCAAAATAGTAAACTCTTAACCTGTTTTGAAAATATTACGAAATCTCAGCCCTTGTCATTTCGTTGGTAAAATTAACTCAAGGAATGTATCTTGTAAAACGTCTTTAGTGTTTATAGCCATAACAGGCCACGAGACATCAGTTCATGGGTGATTTGCAAATTGTGATGGTGTTTTTCCAAACATGCCCCTTGAATAAACATTTTTCTTTCTATTTCACTGCATATTGCATCTCGCCTTTTTTTCAAAGTTTTTTCAATGATGTTCATACGAATTGCCAGCTCTTCAAGCGTTTTCTTCATTGTATTCCTCTTCCGAA